TTTTGCCTAAGATTTCTAACCATACCAACCATCGACACTTCACACAATACCGCGACCGCAAAGTCAGCAAAAGGCAGACTTCCCCACAGAACATGCTGATATTAAATGAAATGATTAGTCAAACTGACTTTTCTGTGGTCTCAGGCGCTGACATCTGTCTTCGGATCATCTTACCAGTTTTCGCGATTTTCACCTTAACCTTTTCTGTCCCATCGGGACTCTACATTCTCCCCGATCGTTTCTCATCCCCTCAGCTCGAACTACTTCGTCGCCGAAAAGAGTGTGTTTCCCAACGCAGGGATTACACAAAGGTCAAGAGCTTGAGGAAACCAATCAAGATTGAGCGATCCAGACTGGGTTAAATACATTTACGCCTCGTGGGACATGAAATAAGGAGGCATGATAGCTAATAAAAGATTTATGTGGAGGTTCACATGTACGCAAGTCTGCTTCTGTGGATATCAAAGCTCTGAATCATTTAATAAGGAAGATGGATCTCCCATTTCCATATCTTCTGAAGATGACCCTTCAAACATGCCTATTTTTTATTTTCATCCCCGACATTTTCAAAGAACTAATTCATCTCAATTCTAGGAAATCATCTAGACCAGATGACCTCAGCTCTATGGTCCTCAAAGAGTGTGCGGTCACTCTCTCTCCCATTTTCCCCAATTGGTGCATGAGAAACTCTCGATTGCTGAGGGTTAGCGGCCATCATCCCTGTTCCTAAGATGGGTTCTTCCAAATTCCGTCCGGTTGCTTGCATTTCAGCAACTCTAAAGTTAGTTCCCAACATGTGGAGTCTTCCCTAAATGTTTCAAAGCCCCACTAGTTTGCTTATCGATCTTCGCGGTCCACCCTTGATGCACTTGGCACCCTGGTACATTTTATTCTCTCGTCACTTGATAAAAAGGGCAAAGCAGTTAGGATTTGCTCCCTGGACTACAGTGACACTTTTAATAGTATCGACAGGAATGAGCTGCTCTCTTTTCTCTTCAATTCAAGTGTGGAGCTTCCCCTTATTTCACTGCTGAATGGTTATTTCCGTAGCCGTCAACGGTTCACCCGTTACAATGGCACCAGCTTTTCTTTTGTTCTTTCTACCCTCAGTGTCCCTCAGGGTGCCATATTATCACCGTTTCTATTTTCAACCTACGTGTCTTCCATCCTTACCCACGACAATAACCTCCTTATCAAGTACGCTGACGATGTCATTCTTCGATTGCCATATTTCTGTAACTCTTCTTTTCCGGCCATTCGAAGTGGATTTGCAGAACTTTCCGAATGGTCCGCGATACATAATTTGGCCAGCAATCCGCTAAAATTTGGAGATATTCTGCTCTCCTTTATCAGAGGCGATGCGTACTCCGATTTTATTGACTCGTGCACTCCAGTATCAATTAATGGGAAACAACTGAATCGCCAGATTCAATAAAGTACCTTGGAGAGATACTGGACTGAAACACTACCTGGTCACGGTATATAAGCCACATTCTTACAAAAATCAGACGTTTGTCTTTTTATGTATCGTGTCTCAAATTCCAATTCGTGCTGACGCATGTCATCAAACGCTTTGTTTTTTCATGTATTGCCTCGCCGGGTCTATGCCTCCCCTGTGTTTTTCCCAGGTCTGTTGTCGAAAGACTTTAAAGTAATCTCTAGACCCCTTAAGTTCTTATCTTCTTGTAGTGGCACACCCAGACAACATTTCACTCAATTCACCATTTCTCAACACCGTAAAACTTGCTATATGCTTTCTACGAAAATACTCACTGATTCTACTACCCCTATTTACGAACACCCACCTAAATGCGCTTCCTTTTCTGTCACACGTTCGTCATATACACCTTCATGCACGCACCCGAGTTTACGGTAGTTTCACCATTCGGTACTTGGAAAGGTTTTTAAACAACCCCGAAACTGCAATATCGCATCTTACATATCGATTGAACAAGTAACTCATCACAACCCAATATTTTGCAAACTTGAATTGCGCACGACTGGACGTGCGGACATGACCGTACGATTCGCCAACACCGGATTGTGTCACGTTTCAACTTACAGGGTCAACCGAACTCTATATAAGCAGCTGAGCACCCTTGTACATTAGCTTTTGGTCCAGCGCCAAATACACGGCTGAGCTTAAGGTTTTGTTTTGTGCGTTCGGGGTTTGTTCGGGTCGAGTTTCTGGTTATTCGACCAGACTGAGAATCGCGTATTGTCAGTCATACGATGTTCGGCTGGGACACGTAACAGATACCACAGACTGTGGTGGTCAAACGGTCATCATCGGACTCTGACGTCCCAGGATTAGATCTTGTTGCTGTTGGTCACCTCCCGATTCGGTAGTTCTTGGTTCCTCACGGTTTCTCCCAGAAAAATACTTTTTCGGCTGATGAATAAATTGGAGAAACTATTTATTTTTATCTGGACTTCCAGATTGGAGTCTACAAGACCGGCCATGGAATGGTTGAGGACACTAGTTGACATAGCCAAGCGTGCATTCAGTGGAAAACATAAATTCGAACTTTATCCTCCTATTTTACATGCGCTTTACTTATACATATATTGTGCCCATTGTTTCCATCTATTAAACCCCGACTGCGTGACGCTTCTGTATTATCGTTATATTCCACACTGGTTCGACTTTAGGCCGTGCCAAACAAAACAGTGCGAAGGGGGAGAGAGTACATGGGGTCACATCTCATGATCTGCTTTGTTTGTGGGCACAATACTGCCAGGTTGCCCACGTCAAAGCTGATGGTTTTTTAGGAGTCCACAACCAGAGCCTTTAGCTATTCAAAGCTTATTCCGCAAGGCACAGCGACGAAGCATGGGGTCCGTAGCCAACTGGGAGCCGGTGACTGATTACTCAGTTCATGCGTCATTCGGATAGGACTAGACATACTGGGTGCCTAGTACACTCCTCCGCCACACATTCCGGTGAACTTAGTGTTGTGCACCTCATACGACACCCGTGGTTGCCTTGGAATCAGAATTTAGTCATCTCCCCTAGACTGACTATCACCCAATAATCCCGGTGAAGAGCGCCCGGCACTCGCTTTCGCCCTTTCACTTTTGTGAAAACACCTCCGCCAAGAGAAGGTAGTGAATAGGACTTCCTCGGCGGAAACTGTGACAGACACGGTCACTCGAAAGCATTTCCAGAGATGATCAGGACGAGTAGCCATTTCGGAGCCTAAGACACCCACCCCCGACCATACAGAGGCTTCCAGATGGTAACAAACACAAGATCAGTAAAGTGTAAAGATAAGGGTTAAGATAACCGACAATATTTGTTTCATGAAAGCGCACGGGGGGAGCAAAAGGGGCATGACTCAGCTTCAAAGGTCCACTAAACGCAAACAGGGATAATCGGTAGCCGAACCCTGAGGAGTGGAGTGGAGAATCACAGTCACAATTAGTCAGACGAAGTGGCGTGACCTACAAATTCTGCCGTGCTGTTCATTCCGTTTCACGGAATTTTGGTCTCACTGCTTATTTTGATTTCCTGTTTCACTGGAACCTAACTTTGTGCGGCCGTCATAGCGCACGTTTTTCGAATAAAGCCATCTTGCCAAATTTTTTCAAATACTCTATCGAGATCCTTACTTCTTTCGAGTGCCCCCCCCCCCACCTCTTCCCCGAAAAGCCTGAGTCATTTCTTTCGCAGGAGCCTTACACAATAAATTGAAAAGGATTTATAGGAAAATCCATGGTAATGCAAAGTAACGCCACGCGTGATGGAGAGTGGTTTTAGAGAAACAAATTCTGCTACGCATTTTAACCAACTCTTGCCAGCAGCAACGTTTGTTCCCTTATTAGAAACATAACAGAGTTGAATGAACTCGTGCATCGTTGGAAATACATACAGACAGGAGTCCTTCTCCTCCTAGAAACTTGGCTCCATGAAGATATTGACAGCAATACTATTAAACTAGAAGGCTTCGCTGGTTATTGCCTGATCGCCGTGTCCCGTACGGCAAGCGAAGTGGTGGAGTCATCACATACATTATTGAAGGTTGGCGCAAGTCAGTGCAAGAACTACTTTCTTAATCTATGTAAATGTTCCGTTATCCTCTATTTTGAGCGATTCCTTAACAAACCTGGTCAAACCACGCCTCACTGAATTTTCTTTATATGTGACAATTCACAATACGTTGTGATTATGTGACAGCTGATTATTCACTCCTCGGGTGTATAAAGCATTTACTTGACTTGAACTGGGCGGCAGTCAGTGGTATGGTTCAAACTTCCCACCTCTGATGTTACTCGACTACCATCGTTCATGCTGCAAACACTCCGGTCAGTGAAATTTGTCATGTAGGTGCATAAAGCTTCAGCGTAAGAGTACACGAGATCGTCTACCTATTGGGCGTTAGATATAGCAATGAACTGCCACCAATGACACTCTTGAATACACATATCCTTTTCTACTTCATACTATCATTTTAGTCCATTTTTTACTAATTCAACTGACAATCATAACCGCCTCATCTACTGTAAGCTACTATTATTATTATTCAAAGTAAAACTGATTTTACTGGATGTTATTATTGAGTTCGCTCATACAATGATTCAAATTAAACAATTATTTTAATTGTTGCAATTTTTATTTTTTCAAAAACGAAGCCGGCGTATTTGAAGAAAACCATACAACAATTCGTTCGATAAACCAAAGATGACTATTTTAATATCATTTTCAATAACAACTTAGACGGATATATATAATCAAAAACATTTCAAACAAAATCTGCACTTTCTAACAATTTATAATAACGATAGAGTTCAGAAAACTTTTAGTAACTGGTGATACGATAATGTCAATAATAAAAGTCCACTGGATAACGATATTGATAAAACACCTTAGAAAAATCCCAGTAGCCTGCGGATAATATGAAATGCAGACGCAATTGTTTCTTAACCGCGAAGATCACATACGATAGACCATACACAAATCTACTCGTTTACCAGGCAACAATTTTCGGAGTTAAACCTACCAATGCCATGCCACACGCCACTGGCAAGTAGAATGTATAAAATCCCGTCTTCCAACGCGTTATTTTTTCATAGTTTTTCCATGTGTATTTATCAAGATCCACGTTGGTAGTAGAATCAGCAGCCGTAGAACGCATAGTTTGCGAGTATATCGTGTCCAAATTCTGTCCCCAACATGTTTTGTAACAGACTTCATCAAACAGCCGTATTATCCGCAGTAGGACTGTATCATTTTCTGCAGATTTATCGAAGATCGAATATAAAAGAAATTTGGCGGTGAGTATCAGATGTATGCCGTCATTCACGGAAATTAGTCCGTAACCGGCCGCCTGCTGAGTGTGAAACCACGAGGGTTTTCCGCGGCGTACCGGGGAATCGTCCATAATATCGTCCAACACCAGAAACCCAGCATGAATCTATGGAAAAGAAGAAATCATTCTTGGTCGAATCGTACACCTACCAATTCAATGCACCACCCAATGAGATGCGCCTCGCGCACGTGGCATTTACGAGTTGATTGTTTAGATTTGAAAGCTTCCATCGCGGCTGGAACTAGTGCGCCGCGAATTCGTTTTCCGCCAGAGATATTATAATTTATTAGCTGAAAGGCATCACTTTGCAACCATGTAAACATGCGATTTGCGAAAAACGATTTTAAATTGATAACCCTCGTTCCTAGCTTTGAAGCCTTCAGGAATAACACTACATTTCGATATGATCATAAAGCTAAACAAAAAATAGAGCCAACTACGAATGTCAACTGACACCCTCAAACTGAGCGACATAATGACCACCCATGCAAAACGAACGTAAAGAACAGTTGACATAAATAATCCTACCGGTGCGGCGATTGTGACGAACATTTCCCGTCCATAAAAGTTGCTTCCAAGTTATTTTTTTTGATGTATCATTTACCTGTATTCCCTTTCGCTTTTAGGGTGCATTACGTTTTCAGATAAATGAAACACAAATTATACGGCAATTCTTTTTCAGTCGTCATCGCGTCCGCTGAATCTGTGGACATCCTCCTACTAGCATTACAATTTACTCATTTGAAAATAAAATGGACTGTTTCCTCTGACCTGATCGGTCTCCTGAAGACCCGAATTTTCGACCGCAGCCGGCACCTGGACACATTGAGTACGCACGGTGCGCTTTAGGAGTATGTGTAGCTTCGAGTTTCTGATATCGCTACTAGAAATAGTAACAGTAGTTACATTATGACTTAGTCTAGTTTTTCACGATATAAATTCCGTTGCACTATCCGCTTGAGAAAACAGTGAACGACACCGGAATTTGCAAAATATGCAATCAAAAGTGTTCTTTTTCCCCACGGGGTGATCGCACAAAGTACTTACTTAGTTTTTACTAAGTGATATATATTTACCTAGTGAAATCGACATCCCTAATCTGACTACGGGTTCAACCTGTTTATTGTAAATTGTCCGATGCCCGGCATATTGTGATGGAAGTAATATCTCCATAACATCAAGAATTGTTAGCCTCCTGGCACTAATTTCATTCAAGCTCTCAAGTGGATTTGATATCCACAGAGGATAGTTCTGGAAGAGTGCACTGTAACTGCTATTGTCGTGTGCTCAAACCAAACTTTTTTCCTTTGTTTGCATGCTTGCACATGAGTACAGTGGAAGGAGTATATATAATCCATAGCCACAAAGGCTCACTGCACTATCAGGAATAATCGGCCGACGATTTCTGAGACTTGGAGTGAGGAACCACATAAGGTTCCAATATGTCATAATTCGCGTTTCCCGGTGATTGAGGCAATCTCTGACAGACCGATCATAAGTTACGATTTATTCAAGCCCGGATCGCATCGACGCAGACCCAAACTCCCCAAATGGCGCTGACTCTCGGGAACGTCAACATATACCTTAACGAAAAGAAACTCAAAAGTCTCATGCATCTTCATTACCAGCTATTTACAAATTCATTTCTAGGTGCGCCGATTACAACTTTACCATCACCACCCTTTAATCCCTGCACATGCTAACTAAAAAAGAAATTTTCACACGCTATCTTCTGGCTATTCCAAAACAGGATACTCTTGAGACGGTCGACAAATCCACGTCAAAGCTTAGAAATCTTACCAGAGATTGTAATTTGCAGGTTGTCAATATAAAGCAAAACGAAGAAGATGCCATCCGCGATGCGTTCATTACCGGACTCTTATCAAACCCTAACTTCCCGAAAACAAAACACTCGACATGCGTACCGCATATGACCAAGCTAAAGCTCTCGATCTAGCTCACCAGCAATCGCAGACATTCGCCCAATCCAAAACTTCAGTATACGCTACCGCTACGATAAATAATTCGAGTACCCCTAGTCAGATATTTGATAAAAAGGCCGAAGCGACACTGGCTGCATCCCGAACTAGCTGTTTCTTTTGTGGTTATGATTGCCATTCTCGCCACAAATGTCCTGCGAAAGATGCAATTTAAAAATCCAGTGGTAAACGGGGACACTTTCAGGTCTGCCGGACTTGTTCGGACACAAAACATGCCGCGACTTCATCACCATTCCTTGTTTCCTTCATCATAACAGCTGTCGCTCCAGCGGGCCTCAGTGAGGTTATTACTTTACCGTTATGTGGCTGTGTCCCGAGAGAGGATGAGCCGGCTTCAGGGATGCCGCGGAATGCGCCTGCCCATGAACGGTGAGATGGGAACACAGGGAGATCCAGTTCTGGTTCCAAAGACGGGCACCGTAAACAAACCGGGGTCCCAGTTGCTCGACGTCCGACTTGGCGGTGTTGATCCGTGTTTTCGGTTGTCCCACAAGGTGGCAGCGCCAATCTTGACACGGAACAGGTGACAGACACTGTTTTGAAATCTTGATGTTTGAGCGTCACAAGTGACTGAACCATTGCAAACGTCGTCGCTGAAGTTATACCAACCTTTGTTGTAGAAGCATCGTTCTCTTACCGTGTCACTTGATATATTATCGCTCCAAGCTACTTTGAGGATCATTCACAGGTACTGGTGGTCAAATGCTTCCAGCTATCTGATGTCCTCGATGCGTAATGGCCACGTTTCACAACCGTAGGGCAATACGGAGCAAATGTCGGCTCAAAAGACCCGGATTTTAGTTCAGAGACTGGTCCCGCTTCACACCCTAAGCGACTTAGGTAGCTGGGAAAACGCTCTCTTGGTGTTGTCCACTCGCACTTTTTTGCACTTGGCTTGGCCGTTTGGGAGGATCGTGCAGCCCAAGTATTTGAATGTCTGCATGTGCTCGATTAGCTCACCGTTGACGTACATTGGTTGTGTGGACTGTGAAGCGAAAGTCAAAAGATCTTAGTTTTTGATATATCGACTTCTAGTCCCATGGTTTTCGCGAAGAAAATTGCACGATTCAGAACTGGCCGTATGGTAGTCGGACTGTCCCCTAAGATAATAATATCGTCCGCGAATTCCAAATCAGCTAAGAAAACGTCTGGGCTGTGTTGTACACCAGGGTAATCGATGAGCGTCTGCTGCACAATCCATTCGATAGCATAGTTGAATAGCGCTAGCCACAACGGGCAACCCTGTCGGACACCGGAGCTGGGAGAGAAATCACCGGGTTGTTCTCTATTAAATCAGCCTTTTATCTTTTTTACGAACTGTCTCTTTCATTGCATTCCACTCTCCTTTCCCAATTTCTGCCACTGTCGTAGCTGCGCTGGCATAATGCTTGATCTCAGGTCATATATATATATATATATATATATATATATATATATATATATATATATATATATATATATATTCTGTACGGCCTAGAAACATGGCCGATAAGCGTAGGAGATTGGCAAAGTGTTCGAACATCGATGTCTCCGTAGCACTGGTCGAACATGGTGGGAACACGATACTGGCAATGCTTAGGTTAGAAGCAAGGTACTGGTAACCAGAGGCCAGTCACTGGAACAATTACCGAATCTAAACAGGGTAAGGTGGCTGGGAAATTGGCCGCGCATGCCCAAGGACAAAATTCTTCAGCGTATGCTATTTTCCGAGGCAGACAGTGGTTGGAATGTAGGTCGAGGTCGCCAGTCCGTGACATGACAAAAAGGGATGAAAGCCTTGACCAGTGGACTTGGACAAACAAGACGTGTTACAATTCCGGATTGTGGTCCACGTGACGAGCCTATCAAATGATTAGAGACATTATATTGTATGGCTAGATGTCGCTACCAAGGGCGTATTTGCATTTGAATTCTTCCTTTGTCTCTGTGATTTCCGCTGCATACTTTGTTATAGGCTCTTTCATCTCATACTTCTCTTCTTTTTACCCTTAACTCGATGTTGAAGTGGCAACGAAAACCAGAGCACATAAGTGCAAGATTAATAGTTGAACGAACTGAACTGCTTTTCAATGGTTTGTCATCCGATTCTCAACGAACTCCACAATTCAATGTCACCAGGGTATTACACGCCTTATGTACTTTGTGAGAGCACGTAACTTGTTGTATCCCCTGCGAGATGTGAAATCTGTGGGGACTCAATGCCCAGCATGTACAGTAATCAAGCCTTGATTTCTCAACCCGCCACATGACACCCTCATCAAAGCGATACAACCTTTTGAAAGATTAAATATCCATCACAAAGGACCACTGCCGTCGGTTTCCAACAATCGCCATCTACTCACTTGCATCGACGAGTACTCGCGGTTTCCCTTCGCCTTCGCTTTCCCCCATGTTTCCTCGTCCACTGCCATCAAATGTCTCTGCCAATGGCTCTCAATCTTTGGCGTACCGTTAGTCTCCATATTTCCGGTTCACAAACGTTCCTTCTAAGTTGCTTGCGTTATGCAGATCATCTAACATGTATTCTTTTTTGCGTTTCAGAGTTCCACGTTTCGAGATGAATAAAGCCCAGCTTATACGGTAATTCTTGCGCAGTCGTTATTGTGTCAGCTGAATTTGTGAACAACCTTCTAATAGCATTGGAATTCGTTCATCTGGAGATAAACTGGGTCGTTTCCTCTGACCTGATCCACTTTCTGAAGATCCGAATCCACCGAACGCAGCCGACGCTTGGACACACTAGATACGTATGTTCCCGAACTTCATCGACCCTATTTCCCTACACAACGCAGGTAAATTGAAAACTAATCAACTGTGTCCCCCATCAGTGTCTAAATTTATTTCAGACTGTTCTGAATACGATACAGCAGTAACTACACTTCAGTCCATATACGTACAACCCAATAATGAAGAAGTCGCTCGTCATCTATAGGTTACTTGAAGGCAAGGGACTGAGAAAAAATCAGACCAGTTCCTACAGACTTAAACTATTCGCCAAGGACTGCAATTTTAAATCTGTAACTGCCAAAAAACACCTGGATAACGTTATACGGGATGATTTTATCGCTGAAATGATATCTAGTCTTACTCGACGTCTTTTGGAGCACAAAAACGTCGGCCTCAAATTTGCATATGAACAAACAAAGGCTCTCGAAATGACTGAATACAAACCCAGACACATGGAGACATTCGTCTCCAGTCCATATGCATCCACTGCTGGCCAACCATCACACACCTACTCTGACACTACGTAGAACAGAGATTATTGTAGCGTCAACCAAACGTGGTTTAAATTGGCACCGT